ATGTGTGTTTTAATAATACATATAATGTTTAATCATGGTTCAAAGTTTGGAGGTAGACTGAAACCTGATTCCATAAAAGTAATATTCTCAGATTGTCTGTTCATGACAAGAAAATACAGTTCCTTCAAAGCTCAAAGAATGTGTCAAAGGCTGATGAAAAAGTAAAGAAATAAGCGTTGCAAAAAATATTTTTAGGCATGTAAAAAAGTTATCTTCATACTGTTTCCCCAACTGTTATGTGGACCAGATTATAATTAACCTCACAATTTATGGAAGCAAAGACACAACTGTGAGGATAGTACTAGCTTGCAAATGCTCAAGCTTTTCAAATAAAAAGGGCTGACCTAAGTCCTTTTACTGCCTGAGGCAAAGGTGAATGTGGTCCCCCCACCCCGTTTCCATGCAATGTACAAAGTCAGCTAGACTGGTCTGCGTATCTGGAACTCAACACCACTTATAGTACCCTGTTTTCCACCACACCTGAGCACAGCAGACTAGCTTATAGGGTGTTGGACACAGCTCCCCACCTTTCCTGGCTTCCTAGCATCTATCACAGCCTTACTCTTCTTAGTAGTAGGGCTAATATCCCTAATATACAGTTCAAAACAGACCACTCCAGAGATAAAAACCATGTCAAAAAAGGTGTAGATAATTACAGTAATACAATGATTTACAGCTCTGGGAACTTTCAATGAGACCAAAATATAAAGTTTCCACAGTGTTTAAGATTCAAAGAACCTATGGAACCTTAATTTGGGACAGGAAGCAGTGAAAATAAAAGGTAGTTGAAATGAATGTAATACATCATAACTTTTCTTTCCATAAATATGCACACACAGAGACTCATAACCTGAAATAGGAAAACTGCCCATCAATTTAGGAGCCCCAGTGCATTAAGTAATCACAGAGGAACTGAAGAAATGCAGATAAACAGTATCATTTGTATAACCTCAAGGTACGGTAAATTCTTATCCTACAGAAATTTATATTCTAAATCAACATAGGAGGGACTAGTATGCTTAGTAATGTAACAAAATTACATTATGTTAAACATGGTGGAGAAAATAATTGAACTATTCAACACGTTCATTTAATCAGTTGAGATTGTGTTTAGTGCATAGATCCAGACTTATCTCCCTCCATAACAACGTTATTTCCACATTTATCCACTTGAATCTGTAGGGTTTACCATTATACAGCAAACAATTAAAGAAAACATTTAGAATATGCTCATAGTTCAGGAGGAGCTGCCCTACTTTTGCATACTTAAATTGATGTCTAATATTACTTTTGTGAATATGCATTTTCAGAGGACTGCCTGAGTTTTCTGCAGATACCAGCAGGCACAAACACATGATGATGTACACAACCCCACTGGGTGAAGTGTCTAAGAGCATGACATTTACTGTTCTGGTGATTAATAAAAGACAAGTAATAAGTGACTAAGAATAAGATGAGCAATGACTGCATCTGAAATGCCAATAAACAGCTACACTGCTAATACCAGTGAATTAAAAATCAGAATGCTCAAGGATATCTCCCACATTTGTAGCACCTTCATTGTACGGATCTCCAGAACCCGTGGTACATTATGCGCCAGGATCCAGTGTACATTCTTATGTGATCCAGCCTTCTGTAGAACTGGATGCTCTTGAGACTATTAGCAGACATCAGTTGCTGGGGAACATGGGCAGGAGGGTGCCTTTGCAGTCATGCCCTGCTTCTGGGTAGCCATTGTATGAACAGAAAGTTGGACTAGGTGGTCTGAACTAGCATGGCTCTTCTTATTTAATGAGAGTACCAATGCCTAAGTCTGCACCAGAGTATGTTGTTGGGGAGATTTCTGAGTTAGGATCAGGTTGTGTTATGTATGTACCAGAGTAACTAGACTTGGTACAAACTGAACCCATACCAGGAACAGGTGGACGTGTACGGAGAATGGGCTTAGGAACACACGAATGCTAGTGAAGGTGCAAGTCATTTGAAGAATACAGCAGTAAAGAAGCGTTCCTAAATTGGGAGAGATGTTTAAATGTGCATTGCTGCAGTCACTTCAAAATATGGTGAGCCAGCTCTGCTGCATTTGGGGTCCCTGCTGCTTAGTCTGTTGGGGTCCTGAGAGCAGCTCTGCTGCATTTGGGGTCCAATCTGCGTATGCGGTCCTTGGACATACGCCCCCAAATCCTGTCCTGGTAGCACCCCAGCTTAAAGAGTGCTTCTCACATTAACGCCTGCCCCAAGCAGGAGGGAGTTCGCACCAACAAGCAGGCTTGCATTAGACTTTCCTAACGCTGTTTCGGCGCAACTTCAGGCAATCGCCCCGAAACAGAACAGAGTCGGCGATCCCTCGGATCGCGGGCCACATGCCCCGCACACAGACGGCCAAGGACTGTTCTGGTCTCGCACCACTCCACAGGCCCAACTTTTTTTACTTGGGCTTCTGTTGCTATAACAACGGAGTTCCTCGCCGGGGTTGCGAACAAGAGGAGGCAGCGACCGGCGAGCGATTGGCTGCTGCCGGGCCATGTGACCCCGCTGGTGTTTTTGACAGGACAAAGTAGACCCGATAGGGACGCCGAAAAGGCGGGAGGGGGGACTGGGCAGGCCGGCGGGGAGAGATGCGTGCTGAGCCACGGATAGGCGGGCGGCGTCGCGAGGGGTCTGGGCGCTGCATGGGAGGCGGGGCGGAGATCGCGGTGCCTCCCCTCGCCGCTCCCTCCCCTCGCTCGTCTTTCTCGCTTTTGGATTAGAGGCTTTCCCCCCCCCCGCAGCGGGTTGATTTAACTTTCTTGCCTCCCGCGGTTCGCACGACGCCACAGTCTGTGACTGGAATGTGTGTGACCCTTTTGGCCGAAGGCAGAAACGTGTCGGGAGAAGGAGGAGAGAAGAGTTAGTCAGCAGGCGCAGCAAGAGAGGAGGAGGAAGGAGAGGAGGAGGAGAAGGAAGGAGGGCACGACGGAGTCATGGAAAACACTCTGCAGCCGCAGCAAGAGCAGCAGCGGCGGCGGCAGCCCAGCGGGGAGGACGAGGCGGCGTGCCTGGGGTGAACAGCGGCGGGCAGGAGCGGGTGTTCGTGTGTATGTGCGAGGGGCGAGGACGGGGGCCAACAGCAGCTCGGCGCCCTCCCACGCTCGCTCTCCAGAGTCACCCGGGCTTAGAAAGGGAGTCGCGCCGGCGGAGGGAGCGAGAAATATGAGGCTGCGACAGTCCGCCTTGGCTGAAGGGGAGTAGGCGAGGGAAGAGGGCAGCGGCGGCCGCCCCAGGAGGAGCGCGCGGGGACGGTCTGCGCGGTGTCCGCGTGTGCGTGCGTGCGTGTCGTGTGAGATGGTCGCGGGGAGCAGCCGGGCTAACGCGGGGCAGGTGCGGGGCTGAGCGGGAAGGAGGCGGGGGCGCTTTTATTGTTGGCCGCCGGGCGCGGCAGGCGGAGTAGGCTCGGGGAGCGGGGCAGAGACCCTGGGCGGCCCTCGCGTGGGGAAGAGCCAGAGCAGGAAGGGATGGGGGGCCGCGGCGAGCAGGGTCGGAGGTGAGGCGGCGAGCGCCTCCGCCGCCCCTTCTTCTTTCTCCCCCTTCCTCGACTTTTCCTCCCTCCGCTCCCTCCCCTCCCCTCCCCGCCCCGTCTCTTCGGCCGGGTTGTGTAAGGTGAGGACCGAGTCAAGTCAGGGGACGGGAGTTTGCGTGGAGCGCCGTTCAGACGCCGCCGCCTTGCGCCCCTGCAGGCGGAGCGGCTGCAGCCTCCAGCCGGGCGGGCCGGGGGCTGCCGGCGCGGGGCCGCTTTCCGGGGCCGAGAGCGCAGCGGGGGCGGCCGCGTCCACCCTGTAGGGCTTGCCCGCCGGCTTCCGAGCGCGGCCCCGGCCGCCGCCCGCCCGCCCGCCCGCCCCCCGGTCTCCGGCCGCGACCGCCCGCGACTGTTGCTAGACTGTTTTTATTTAGACTGCACGCGAGCAGGGAATTGGGGAGAGGGCGGCGGGAGCTCTGCCTTGTTCTGGGCTGGCTCTGTCGAACAGGTAAAACGCCATGGACTCCAGCCTGGGCTGACATTGCCTGGAGGCTCTGTGATTCAGAGCCCTTTGATTTTGGGGTGTGGGGTGGGGGGGTTCCGCTTTCGTTGTCTAAGCTTTTGCCCTGGCAGGTTATAAATAGACCTGTTCAGACGCTGTGTCAAGGAAGGACACAAGCAAGTTCGAGAGAGGGAGAGAGGGAGGCTGACTGGCAGGCAGTGTTTAGCTTTTTCTCCAGCCGACGGCTGCTGTCACCACAATGAATACTTGGAGGAGGCCTAGCTGCTACCGATTTTTGTAAGCTGTTAAAGATAAGGCCTGGATTTTATTCTGTTATTCCTACAACATCAACAAAGAGAGAAGTCTAGTACCAGTGAGACTACAAAGAGAAGGAAAAAAGGCCTCTTTTACTGAGACTTGTGAGGAAAGAAAAGATTGGCGTGAAAATGAAGCCAGACAGAGGTAATAATTTAATAAACGTTTCTATTTATAACATTTTCCTATTGGACAAGTGGCTTTTTTAATAGATGGGATTATTACTGTGAAGGTTGGTCCTAGCCTTACAAGAAGAAGTGAGGAGTTTGAATCCTATAAAAAAGGATTAATGTTTGAAACTGATTCTTGGTGTCTACATTTTTAAAAACTGTTGTGTAAATAAATTTATTGGATTCACTTCATCCATCAAGAGCTGGGAGATGAAAACTCATTGAGGAAAACACCCTTTGCCTAAAGAGATAGTATCATTTTGAATGTCAAACGCTTTGCACTTAAGCTATTATACAATTGCAACATTACAACAACAAAAAGACGCAGATCATGATTCCCTATCTCAATAGAAACAAACAGATGTTACAAACAGAAATAAGGTCGGCCTCGAAACTCATGCAAAGTAGGTAAAACTCATTCTATTTAAATTCCCACAAGCACTTCTAGTGGAATCATTATCAGCCTCACCTTTAATTGTGTTAGCGGTTAGTGGATAAAACCAGTGGTTCAAACAGTATGCTTCTACAAATTTTTTTGTAGCTATGGCTGCACACCAGTGGTTAAGTAAACCATGACTGAATTGAGCTCTGTTGTTAGCCATCTATTTCACTACAGCAATCTTTCTGAAAAGTAGTTTCACTTAACGGTGCAATCCTATGCATGTCCATTTGGAAGTGCTATTGTGTTCAATGGGACTTAATTTCAGGTAAGTGTATAGCACTGCAGCTTAAATTGTATAATATTGTACAATGGAACAGGGAGCAATCTCAAACTTCCCTGTCTTTGCTATGTTGGATATTATATGAAATGTTTCAGTTAGGTGAGGAACTTCTGTAAGTAGGCTAGATGCTTAAGGATGCTGAAAACATCAGCAGCAGGATCCTATATACATCTTCTCAGAAGCGAGTCTCCCTGTGTTCACTTGGGATTACTCCCAGGTAAGTGTATATAGGATTGCAGCCTAAGATGCACAAACAGAAAATGCTTCGTTTTTTGAGACACTTGTTGTCTTTCTTTGATTCCTAACAGTACTTTATTCTGTCCTCACATATGTGAAGGAACAAATGTACAGGCATCACAGTTTTAAACTTGTTTGACCTTTAAAAGAAGAAAAACTACTGTGACATACTTGGAAACAAAAGAGCCCTTGTTTTTTCATAAGTAGTTGCAGAATGTTTGACTTTTGCTATATCATGTGCAGTGTGATTTAAACAGGTTTACTCTGTAACAAATCCCACTGAGTTCAGTGGGACTTGCTACCTGATAAAGACTTTATTGCAGGCTAATTTTCCTTATGGGAAAGTACAGATTATAAAATATACTGAGATAATGCTATAGAGTCAACATTTGTAATTCCTTTCATAGTCCAAAAGCTCAGAAGCCTGATGAAGCATACTCAACCTTTTTGGTGGCTCACAGATAATACACAATGAGAAAGACAATGGTATTTTATCATTAGATGACTGTAGTGTAAGTAGATCATCAGCTAATGTCATGCAAAAGTTTGATGAATGCAAATGTAAATTAAGTCTTCTTCCAGAAATCTAGCTTTTGCTCTGTTGTGTTTCAATGACAAGGTAACTTTAAAGTCAGTTGCTAAAAGCACAGAAGAGCTGTAATGTTAATGAATAATGTATCCAGTTTAACTGTTCCTATTATGTTACCGCACACATGAACTATCTACAAGGGGTTAAAGTGTGGCTTAAATGCCATGTTCATTCTACAGATGCTGCTTCTTACAAAGGCACAAATAATGTGAATATTTGCATACGTTGTTTTCTGCAAAGCCGCCGCACCACAGGCAAGCAGTCAAGCAGGCAATCACCTGCTTCCATTAGTTGCAAATTAATAGAGAAGGACACAGGCTGAGCAGAGCTTTTAACTAAACTGCAGTAGGATCTGTTTAATATTGGACTGACAGGACTATGCAGCATTGGACTATAAAAGAAAAGACATTGTGTGTCTGTGAATTATCTTAGTTAGATATGTCTAACCAAGGATAGATAGGTTGTGCCTCAGTGATCTTAGTGCCTTAGCTTTCTTTTCCAGTGATGATAATGATAATAATACTTGCTTGAATCTTGGTAGGAAGGGATGATTTGGAAAGGGATTTGAGGTCAAATCATTGTCCAAAATGAGAGATGGAATGATAGTCTAGATTTTAAGTAATGTCAGATTGAATTTGATGACTTATAGCCAAATGAAAGGGAATACATGATTAATTTTCTGCAATGAACAATAGGTTTGTGAATTTTTTTCACAGTTGTGGTAGTACAGAAGCTGGACTGCTCATAGTATTAAAATGGCTTTGAAATAAAGTGTACCCATTGAAACTTAAAACATTTGTGGGAAAATATGCATGTAGCAATGGGGACGGGTCCGAGAACAGCCTGAGCTTTCAAATATTTCCCTCTATTATATAAGCTTAAGAAGTGCATGAAAGACTGTCAGGTAACTTACACTGCAATCCTATGTATGTTTACTCAGAAATAATTTCAAGTGAGTCCACAGGTAAATGGGTATAGGATTATAGCTTTAAGGAAAAAGGGCTGTGTCAGACTTCTAGTCTCCTACATTCTCAGATTTCAGGTAAGACAAACGTACATCATCCCTTGTTCTTGACATACTGCCACCATTGCTGTTTAGTTTAAACTCTGAAATAAACAATGACTGAAGGCACATTTCTGCCAGAGTTGAGCATATTTAAGTGGACCAGGTCTTTCTGCAAAATTTGAAGGGGAGAAGTGTAAATGCAACTGTGAGAAACCTGGAAGTTCTGAGAAATATTTGCATCTTGCATAAAAGATGTGATGGAGAAGCAATGGAAATGTAGAGGCCTGATTCTTTTTGTCATGTGTCAGAAGTCTTGAGGTTTCTAATTTAAGCATACTTTCTATTAATTTTAAAGCACATGTGCCTCTGTGGGTTGGAGAAATTTCGTAGCTTAAGGATACTGATGCACTTTGTCTAATGCTATATCACCTGCTACAGAAAATTCTGTAACTGTACATCTTAAGTGTTTTACCAGCTGGCTAAAGTGGCATGACTGTGTACACATGGCAGGGAGTAAACCATTTTAAACACAGTGGGACTAATATGTAAAAATGCAAAGTGTATTGCATTGTTCACATCTTGTCAAGTTTGAGGTGCTCAATCCAGTTTTGAGTAGTGAATAATAAACAAGAGGCATCTGAGTTACAGCTGATGTTAGGTCCTGTTTAGCAAGGTGGTGCCATTTGATTTGAAAATGCCTGTGGTTCTAGTTATATACATCACAGGCAAATGCATGAATTGGCCATACCTTGGAAGTGATGCTACTTCCTGTTAGAGCAGGGAGGTAGTTCTGGTTGCTTTTCTAATTGTGGAATTATGCATAGAAAATTTAGAGGAGGAAGCTGGGATGTTTGTTTCATTAGTAATACAAGGAATGTGAAGATCTTGGAAATGATGGTTCAGATTGCAATATTCCTGACTGATGGTTTAGATAATGGTATGGGAATCTGGCCATAATCTACAGAGAAAAACAGATGGGTTTGTCTAACGTGTAGAGTACAGGCACAGAAAAGAAAGGGGAGTTGCTGTTTGCTTAATTTTAACCTGCTGTATTGTTGCCAGAGAAAATTTTATGGTTCAGTACTTGACAACCTATTAAAGGGTTATCTTGTGAAACATGAATATCAATAGTAATGGATGAAAAAAGAGAATTTGGATTAAAATATTGAACATTCACTAATAGTCACATCAAATAATTAGAACTACAGATCATGTGTTGTGCACATTGTATCCTGTACTCTTTGGTACTGAAATACTGAAAAGCTTATGGCTACTTCAGATTATTCAGCAGAAGTTTTAAACTATTAAGTCCATATCCTACCCATCAGAGCATTCTTGTAGCTACTTAATTGTTCTGGCCTCGCTTGTCATATTCCACTGAACCTTTCACTCCTGCATGGGACACATGCATTCTGGGTTGTTGGAGGAAGGGAAAACATGTTGCCTATTACTGTTTAATGCTTTTTGTGAGGGACACCCCAGCTGTCTACAACCAAAATACAGTGAAAAAGAATGATTCACACTGATCCTTGTGTTTTCAGCTGTGTATGGGGAAGTGTTTGCTTACAAAGTGGCCTTAAATCAAATAATTTTTACTGTGGTAGATACTTTCTTCTCAGAAAGACAAGACTATTTTGCTGTAAGACCTCTATTCCAGTTTCTGTCTATTGGTGTCTTCCTGAAGACAACTTGGCCCTGTTTTAAGGCAGAGATGTTTATAAACTGTCATGCATATATACTGTCTTATATATACACATTACATTTGATGCAAAATGTTAAGTCACTCTCTGTGTTATTATGCAGTCTGGACCCTCTATCCTGACTTGGTGTTATATCCTGATTTTAATAAAATTTGTTATATTTGTACATGAATTTCAAAACTAATAGTCTACTTTCTGGTGATGCTAGGTTGGGTCATAATGTTAGGAAACTACTAGTAAAAGAGTCATGATCTGAAATCAGTTCTGCTTATTGCTTTGCATTGTGTTCTAAGCCACCTACTTTGTTTTTAGGTTGGTGGTTATTGTAAGTCATTTTTGGGTGCTTGTGTAGGAGGGAGAGGGAATAAGATTCATAGCAAAGTTGAAACACCAACAGCTGAGTTAGTTCCAGATTAGGATAAAAATGAACAGTATATTGTAGACATTGTTATTCCAATACCTTCAGAAAGAAGCAAGGGCAGTATTGCTATTGTGTCGTTGTGAATCTTCTTTGAGTAGCAGGATTCAAGTACAAAATAGTTTTAGTTACTTACAGCCAGTTCCTAATAAGTCTTAAAATCCTCCTAAGCTTAGGAATATACTCATTTTTTTAGTCCAGATAGTGCACACCATTCTGTAATAAAGATTAGTTGAAATAGCATTCAAGATTTTCTGCATGTAACTGGCTAAATTTCTTGTATTTAAAACTGTTGCAGTGAGAATGGCAAAGTCCCAGAACCAGTAGTCTGGAGGACAACTACTTTAGGCTAGACTTCTGCATCCCAATAGTACATTACATGTTCCCTGCCTATACCGTGAATTGAATTTTCGTGTGAGAATTCTGTCGTCTAAGCCCTGTTGCTGTAGTTTGACCTTTGGAGTGTTCCTCAGGCCTGTACATATACAGTGTTTATGTAGGTAAAACTGTATACTGTTGATACACAATTGTTGATGTGTGATCTTCACCTTGATTTCCTGCTTTGCTAGCCCAGAGGAATCTTCTGAAAAGTATTTGCCAGTGGAGAATCCCCAAAGGACAGTTAATCTCATGCTGAGTATGCCCTTGGGACAAGCTAATCCTAAATGGAAAAACTACAGAACTTTAAGAAGAGCTGGTCTGGATCAGACCAAAGGCTTATCTGCCCCGGCCTTCTGTTTGCAGAGTGGCCAGTGGGTTGCATCTGGGAAGCCCACAAGACAACACGAATGCTACTGTACTTCCCTGCTTTTAAAAACCTTTGGGATAAATATTAAACCTAATGTCAGCTTGCCTCAAAATTCCTTACAGTTTCAGGGTCAAAGTGTATTACTAGGTAGATTTGGATCCGGCAGTTCAAAAACAGAAGCAAACAAACAAATCCCCTCAAATAGCCTCAAAACCAGAAAAACCTTGCTAGTTTATATTCCTTGTTTCAGTTCAAGAGCAGTGTTCACAAAGCAGCTAAAACAACAAAATTGCAGCAAACATAAGAAAATCAATAAACAATACATTACAATAATGAACACCACATCTGTCTTAAAATTACATTCCAATAATATAAAACTTCAGAAATAGGACGTAATTATTATTGTACAGTTTAAGTCTAAGGAAAGCGTTCTGTTAATAAATTCTATTAAGACATTACCACGCAGTGTCTGTACCATGTTAGTGTATCCAGGGAACAGTTCTTGAAGATCAAGGGTCATCTACACAGATATGTAAGAGCAGGAGAGGTCACCAGTAATGGGAGGAGAACAAAACAAAGGCAAGCGAGTGAGGAAGGGGAGAAGAGCTGACACTAAATGCAGTATGGGGAAAAGCTAATGGATGATTTTACAGACAAGTACAAAGAAATTAAGTAGTTTGGTAATCTTACGGCCAAGGGGAAGTTAAAAGAAATGCAATGGTTGGTTGACTGCTTTCAAGGCAGTGTCACAATGCAGTGTCCCATGAAAAGGGCTGCCTTTTGGAAGGCTGGTTAGCGGTTGCTTTTTAAAGCAGGCTTTGCTGACAGAAAAAAAATAGCCAGACTGAAGAAAGGCATGTTTAGTTGTTAGAAAAATATGGATAAAAGAACCAAGATAAGGGGGAACAGAAAGATTGGTCGTGGTGTTCAGAAGTGGCGAGCAGGAGGACTCATTAGATTTATTAAAAAAAAATACGGTGGGATCAGGGTCTTCCTTTATGTAAAACCACAGTTTCAGTCTTTTTCATTAATTATTTTTTATTATTTCAGATAATGATCCCCTCAAAGCTCTGTATTCTTCTTTGTTTCTTGCTTTCCCTTTTTTGTTCAAAGTGCCGGTTTGGGGAATGTGCAAAGATAACACAAGTGCGGGGGCTGGGGAGCGAGGTCAGAGGCAAATGGAGGCAGGCATGAAATACAAAAGCAACCAAGCCAGGGAGCAGGTGATAGGAATCTAAGACAGGCAGATGGCTGGGTTCTAGAATAAGTAGGGAAAGATCAGCTGTGGCTGATATAATGCAAGGAATTTGGAAGGTTGGATTCCAGAAGGCTGCAGACATGAAGTGACCAGTTAGCCGCTTAGCTTGAGGAACCAGCCTGAAGCCACCATGTTAGAGCTTGCAGGCTCCTGCGGGTTCTGTCTAACCTGGTCTGACTCTGTTGAAGAGCAGCAGTATTCCCTCTGGCCATTGTATGGTTGGTGTTGGACTCCCATAAAACCCCCTGTTTAAGACAGAGTGATTGCACAATAAAAACCTCATCTGGAAGCACCCCAGGGCTTGGGTAATTGGTGTGCATAATTGGGGAGCACCAGTAGCCCGCTTATGGGGAGCTTCAGGAGTTGTGGAAAGAACTGGAGAGCCAGCTGTAGCTTTTAAAGCCACAGGGTGAGACAGGCCGGATAAAAGGGGTTCCGAGGTCTGTGGGGGTCCAGAATCTGTCTGTAGCTGAAAAACTACAGATATTTGTGCCAGTTAGAACACAGTTCTGTTTCAGTCCAGCTTTTCCTATGTAGGGAAGCATATAGCTTTCAAGGGTTTGAATACTTTGTCATAGAAAAACTGGCTGTATAGTGAATATTTGCTTGGCTATACAGTAAATACCTCAGTGTGTTTAAAATCTCAGTTTTTGCACTTGCCCAGAATTTGTCTGAACGCTGAGTGTGAATGTTCTCTTCCCTCATAGCTTTGACTTTAAAAAAGTCTGATTCTCAGAACGGTACACATCTTTTAATTTCAAGAACCCTGAAGTTATTATGTTTACATGTTTGTAGAAACAGCAAAGGTATCAATTCATATCTTTCAGCAGTGCATGTGCATTAAGAAAAAGCCGTTAAATAACAGTATGAGCTAAACTACCACCCAAAACAAACAGGTCCTTGTTGCTTTTCTTTCCCATCCTTACACATTTCAGGTGTATTTGAAATACAAAATTATGATGACGCCTTATTTTTTAAAAATTGAGCCGTAATAATAATAGCAACACTTGGTGCCATATTTAGTGTGTCCTGCTACTTGTTGTTCTGCTTTTCTTTCCTCTCAAATTGCCCAAACACAGCTGGGTTCACAAGAGGAGAAAAGAAAACATGATATTACTGCCAAACAGACAGGAAACTGTAGTAGACCTTGTGAGCGGTGAAGGGTTGAAACACGCCTTCTGTCCAATCAGCTGCCACTTCTGTTGCTATGTGCACTCTTACTCTGCCTTCTTTGTGGAAAAAATGTCTTGCACAGAAAGGCTGAATATGTACCCAAAGCTGAACAATTTTGTGCTGGCCACTGCAGACATCTGGATCCCCAAGATACTGACAGTGTAGCCCATTTTGCTGCCAGACGGCAACTTCTTTTCCATCACGATTCCAGTATGGTTTACAGTGGAAACAAAGGGCTGCATAGAGAAGGTGTGTAACTGAAGAAGTAATTCTGAATGCTTAAATGTTCTTACATTGTTTATGAACCCGAATGTGTGTGTTTCTGTTTCTTCAGCAGACTGGGTATTAACCATGTTGCTGCAGTTTCTTTTGTTTGTATAAAAATATTACACATGGATAATTTCCATTTAACAGTTTTAGAGCTCTCTTGTGATTGCAAACAATACTGAAAACAATTTGGAATCGTTGATTCTGAACAAAGGGAGAAAGGGAAATGATAACTGTGAGTTTAGAAGGATAAAACTCTTTCACTGGTAGGTGGTAAAATGAGGCAATGTGTGTTTGATTATTGAATAGCCCCATTACCTTAATCCTAGAACCATTTAACACAATTTAAATGATACCACTATATACTAATTCATATTTTTCTTGGTTACATGTTTTTTTCTTCGTAGTATTGTAGTGATATACCTATTCAAGCAAAAATAAGGGGTTTTGGAATAATTTAAAAGTATCGCATTTTCTGGGGCAATTTTTCCTGTGACATGGTAGTTCAACTAGATACTGTATAAATATTTTGGTTACCATAGAAGAACTAGTGCTTGCCATAAGTGTTTGCTTTCTTTATTGTTCACTGAGAAATTGAAAGACTTAGCTGACACTGTATTTCTTTTGTGTGTTTTTTTGTTTCTGTAGGTCAGAGTTCGTTTAAAGCACAAAGAAATTATTACACTATTTTCCTAGTAAAGTATACCTAGTACTGGTAAATACAGCATTATCCATTTTTGGTAAAGTGTTTCTGTTAGGCCAAAGAGAGGTTATACAAATAACACCTAGCCATAGAGCTTCTTGAGAAGGAAGTTAATTTAAAACAACAACTACCCATGACTTGTGGTCAGAAAGTGCCCTATTTCAGTGATTCTTGTAACTTGTCATTGCTCCCTATGATGGGGTGGGGAAATGGTCCCCTTGGACTATTCTTTCTCAGATGTAGAAAAATAATGTTTTAATGAGAGGCATTGCTATATCGAAGGGCAGCAGTGCTGACTGAAGGTTCTTGTAGTGTAGTCATCCTTTTAAACTATCCTGCACATTTTTAGATAAATGTGTTCACACTATCCTGCACATGTGTTCATTAAATGTACTTATGGCTTGAAAGTGATGGCCTTATGGCATGACCTTGTATTTCTCATTTTGGAGGGGGTTGTTGGGACGCCCTGCAAGCATATCAAGTGCTTGATGATAGTGTCCTTCTCCATAGAAGACAGTAGCAAACTTGAGAAAGTATAGTGCTGATTCCTGCAGGCGAAGGCTTGGATTTAGAGGCTCTTTCTTGGCATGTTGGTGCACACATGAGAGGGCTACCCTCCAACTGGTTTCCCGTTCCTCTCACTGGATGGTGCAAGGCTGCATGACCGTTATTTGCATGAGTGGAACTTCTGCTTCTATATCAGTGACGTGAAGCAAGTCCATTTTGACAGGAGTTCTGTGTGCTCAGTTGGCCTAAATTACTGGATGGGGTCATATTGTTTTCCTAAGGACAACTCATACTGGACTTCTCTAAGAAGTTATGCTTTCCTGTTTAAAAGCTTCTGTATCTTTTAAAACTTTATTGTATGTAAGCCAATAAAACAATGTTTATGTGATGTGTGTGTCTTTCTGTATATGTGAAATTCTTCAGATGCCCCGGTAAGAAACAAAATGCCAGTTTTGATTCGGAGGACATGGCTTTTTATGGACAATGGAAAAATGATTTGGTTAATTGGATCAAAACATGCATACCCATGGTCTGAGAGCATATAGTGACACCGTTTTGCCAAAGCTAAGGAAATCTAGGTTTAGAAACATAGAAAACAGAGCGAGTCAGAAGGGGTCTCCCGGGCCATCTAGTCTGACCTCCGGCACCAGCTGGCTCCGCTCACGACATGCCCACCATGTGGACGTCCAGCCTATCCTTGAACACCCGCACCAGTGGGGCCTTAGTGACCTCTCGTGGAAGCCCATTCCACACCCTCAGGGTCCTGACTGTCAGGAAGTGCTTCCTGGCATCAGTGTCAGGGTGAGAGACCACTTGGGGACTCCTTGAGCACCATCTTGAGGTTCATGGAAGAAGAAATGCAGGACGTGTGTAATATAAATCAAGACTAACAATGAAATCTAGAATGTCTCACTTTTTACACACACTTGGAAGAAAACTGTTGAAAAGTAAATGTGATGATGTGGTATCTCCTGAAGTAACTAGATGGTATAATGTAAGATTTTTTTATGGCATTTATATAAGATCTCTGTAAAATTTCCCAAAGAAAGGAGGAAGTTCCCTCTTTTCTATAAACAATGTTGATTATAATTTCTGCTGGAAAGGTATATTGGTAAATCATGGCCTTGCTGTTTTCAGAAAGAGTTTTGTATATTTATTCTGAGCTGCTGATATAATTTAGTGTTATCTGATTCTTGGAGTTGAAAAGGACAAATTCTAGGCCACCCTCCTGCTCTGAGGAAGAACATTTGTCCTTAAAACAGGCATGATGGATGTCTGTTCAACTTATCTTGATTACCTTCAAGGAAGGACTTGCATTTCTCAAGGCATCTTCTTTATTTACAGCTACATTAGCTATTAGGTTATGATCCTAGTGCTACATTCTTTTAAGATTAGGAACTTAGAGTTGGATTTGAATTTAAATAATTTGTTTGTCTTGCCCTTTGTTAATATGAACAGTAGGAGAAACAGAATGAAAATTATTGGAAAAGCATCGAGGTTGGCAATAACTTTGCAGTTACATGGTCTGCATATTATCCTGAGGGTAGGCATGAGGAATTCTGTGCATCAAACACAAAGTTAATACATATTTTGGGACTACAAACTAATTGTGCACAAAAGTCCTAAATCTTCTTAAAATTTGAAAGCTGTCATCGTGCGTTGACCTTAATCTATGTACTAAACATGGCCAGTACTTTAGCTTTTGCTAATAGGATTTGACTTTTAGATCCTTCATCTTCATATTCTTTTATTTTTTCCAATTCGTCAATATTCTTGATTAAATATAGTATCAAGCTCTAATTACAGTGCTAGAATGGTGCCAAATACGTGTTTGCAATATTTGTGAGATAAAAGAGGGCGTCCTGGTTGCCCAGGTGTTTTCTTGAAGAACTGTTCCCCCTTCTTTGTTATTGGCCTTTGAAACTTTCCCACTGCTCCCTACTTTGTCCTTTTCTGAATGATTATATTCTATCATTATTCATGTAACAAATGTGGAGATGTTGTGACACCTTGTGATGTGTTGTGATGAAGCCAATTCACACTAAGGGCAGTGGTTCTTGCTCTCACTCCAGATAAGCAACTTTTGCCTCACATCTCTCTTCCCCAGCCTCACATGGACAGAATGACGAAAATTTTGGTGATGTTCTCCCTACTGAGTCTCTGTTACTTCTTGGTTATGCAAACAGTTGTTCTGTAGTTATCATCTACATTGTCCTGGAGATATCATTGGCTTTATGTGCCACAAGGTCATATTGTTGATGTTTAGTATAATTACTTATGAGCTATTTATCCATTGATCTCTTATTTAGGTACTTGATTTTAATGGCTGTCCCCTATTAAGACTTCATATATTTGCTTTATATTTCTTTTCCTGCTTATTAGAGTGTTCCTAGTCCTGACATTATTTGTGAATTGTATAATTGTGGTCTTCATCTTTACAGCCAAACAGCTGATGAAGAGTACTAACTCCCTTGTATAAGTTTGCTTGATAACTAGTTCTAGTTAGATTCTAGCTTACTAATGAGCTTTTGCATAAATGTAATTACCTTCTTAATACTTGTCTAATACCAATTCGCAGATATTTCTTACCCAGTTCGCAAATATTTCTTATTCTACTTTCGCCCAAGGAATACAGCATATGCCCTTTTTTATCTTCATAACATTCCAGTGTGGTAGGTTAGGCAGAGACCAACCCAAGTTACCCAGAGAGCTTTATGCTTGGGAATTTGAACCCCAGTCTCCCTAGAGCATATCTGCCTGTTTGCCATGCCACAATAAGTCTATCTTGTAGGATGATGACACTGGGGGATGAGGTCAAAGACCCCCCCTCCCCCAGACTTATTCCAGTGATTGGCTGTGTGTTTGCGGAACCTGTTCTTACCCTCCAGATGAACAGTGCTGTCAGGGTTAAGTGATAATGCTTGGGGAAGTCTTGAGTTCGGGTTTGCTGGCATAACAGGTGACTGATACAGTTAGTGCATGGGGGCTCACCCTTACCAACCTGGAGTACAGACATATAACAGTATAACAAATACTGCAGTATGAAGTGCTTCTGCTCAGCTTTCTGGCCAGCTGTGCTCTCTTTGAAGATACTTCGTTTTAGTCTCCACCCTTGATTTTGTTTCCTCTGCATTCTGTGGCAGCTGAGCAGTCTCATTTTGCATTGGGCTGTTCTCAGGGCTTCCGCTCAGGTTTATTTTAAATCATTTTTGTAGTTCTGCAAGCTTTGGTGTTTGCCCTGAGTCTGTTGGTACCTCCTTTTTGTGTGTGGAATGTAGATGGTAGAATTTTGGCCACATAAACATAGAGGAATTGGGCCTACTTCACTGCTAAAAAGATTGCAAAGGTTTGGAGTCAAATGGGGGGCGGATTGGATTGGGGGACAGAATCCATAACTGAAATGCTTTGGTTCTTTGTAAGAAAAAACGTGGGATATAAATCTTATAAATAATCCATAAGCAGGAGGACCCAGCTTGAAGGTGTGGCTTGCTGTCTTCAGTTTTGGAAGGGAGGAGCCATGTTCACGTTTGGAATCAGCTGCTTAATCATCAGTGCGCATTCCCCCAGTGCCTGGGGTTCTAACTCTGCATCTTTTGCTGTTGACTCCTGCAGTTCTCTTGTTTTGTGCCATAAAGCCAACCTAGCTGGTCAGCTTTAACATAATAAAGCTTTTTCTTGAGAAAGCCTTTGCCCTTCTCTGCTTGGAAGAAGTGGGAGGAGGATGGCCTATTTGCTGTTACTATATAGCAGTGACAAGTAGTGTTCCTGAAGG